ACATGCAATTGGCAGCCCAGAATGGTTTAGAGTGTTTTTATCTTGGTTTTGTTTCACTGTGGTGCCTATCTTGACAAAGGTGCTGGGTTCAGCTGTGGTACAAGGGGCTATTGGGAGGAGTTTGAACAGCTGGCAGGTTCTTCCGCAATTACTAGGTTTACTTAGATGTAGGTTTAGTTTTCTTTTAATAAAAAAAAATAAAATACATCTACTCCATCTTCACACTTACTGCACAGTAAAAGGGAAGACATTGTTCATGCTGTAGAGGGCAGCCCTTCCAAAGGCAAAACTGAGCAGTTGCATGTGACTAAAATCATGCCACATGCAAAAAGAATGACAAGTGCCTGTCCTGTTTTATGACAAAAGACTGTCTGTGAGACCAAGGAGTAAGTTTTGCAGAAAAGATGCCTGAGAACAGCTGAGCTTAGAACACAAAGATTACAGTTTACTTAAAGCTGCCTAAAAATAAATCCAAAGTTTACACTTGAGTGATAATCCAACTTATTTTGTCCAGCCCCGCTTGGGAACAGACTGAAGATTATGAGGGTAGGTGTGCTTCCTTGGATAATGAAGAATAACTCTTCCTGCCTTCTTTACCGAAGATGGTGGGGGGAAATGACTTTGTGTAGCACAGGACATCAGGTTACAGGACCATAACTTAGAATTTGCTAAAAATGACTTCAAGTTCATGAAGTAACCTCTTTTATTTAAAGAAAAAATGAAATCTGAACTAGTTAAAGCTGTTAGCAGTTAAAATATTTATTGAATGACAAGTTTTTCATGAGAGCTGGACAGATATACACTGCATGTTTTCTTTAAGCATGTGGAACTTGTATATACAAATGAAATTGAAATGTTTTATTTTAATATACTGTGGAAATTAATTCAGGTGATGGAAGTCACACAGCTCCACAGCACACAGGCCTTTAAGGAATTCCTGGAAAGAAAGGGCTACAGAAAGCCTCGGGTGAGTCATGAGAATCTGCTCAGGGTGCTGTCGGTGTTCCCATCTTGATTTTCTTGTGGGTATTGCTGGGTTGTCCCAAGGTCCTGGTTGTAAAAGCACCTAGATAGGGGACCTTGAGTTCTTCTCTTCTATGTGCTGGAGCTTTTGGAGGGGAAGAGCTGCTGTAATTGCAAATGGGGC